ATTTCATCCGTCCCTACACACCTCCAGGCACACCGCTTGGATGAACTGCTTGGGTCAACGACAAGGCTTTTTTTGTTAATAAGGTCCCAAAGGGAAACTCTGGAGGCAGCAAACATTTTCCTTCAACCCCACGTAACATGATGGCAAAACCAAGAGCCACAGGGGATAGCAAGATTCCTACACCCAAAAAAAGGACAGCTTGCTTTGTGTTTAAGGAAGGGGGAAGAAAAATGTGGACAACACACCTCTAGTACTCTGTCTTCAGGGAAGACTGCTCTTGGGGGAATAACCAATTCTCTGGCAACCACATCAGCCAAAAGCAGACTTGCTAAAACACACAGCTTTTCACCTTCTTAGGGTAAGAAAAGAAAACCTTAAAAAACCCTATCAGAGTACTAGCTTGCACTTCCTTGGAGTATTATTTCCTCACCCTCCACTCGCACTGCTGAAATCAGCCTGCCAGGGCTCAGGCAGCCAGGCTGGCTAGCTCAAACATGAGGTCAGCTTGGGAAAGGGGGATGTATTGGAACTCCTCAGGGATGGCCTGCCGAAAACTGAGGCCAAGAGCAGAGCTGCTCCCTTCCAAAGCTCTGGAAGAAGCACGATTCCTGGGACACACCGGGCTCCCAGCCCACAGACAGGAAGATAATAGGTGAAGGCTGCTGCTGGCGCGGGGGCTGGCAGCCTCTCAAGGGCCCCAGGCTGGATGCCAGCAGCCTCCTCTGCCAGAGGAGAGGTTTTCATTTTTCTCTGGTAGTCCTCCTGGCAGTCCCAGGAGATGCTGCTTCTCTCACAGCGCAGAGACACCAAGGCCAGCACTGCTGATCCATGTTCCATCTGTCCAGCTACCAACAGCAATGCCCACACTACAAGTTCCTCCCTTCTTTAGTGCTGTGAAAACAAGACCTTTATGGGATTTTTTCTTAAGCAAACTCCACGTGGACCCATAAACGAAGATGTTTATCTCTTAGCCCATTTCCATCTTTAGCAGTTCATTTTGTTCCATATCCACTCAACTACATCCTTAGTTACATCCTGGACAGATAAAAGGCAGATTTGCCTTTCTGTTTGGTTTTTTTTTTCTTCATAAACAAACTTTATCCCTTTTAGCTGTGTGCATTGTGGGTGTCAGCTAGAGTCTGAACGACACTGAAGATTTATCTGTGGGCACATTCTCCAGAGGGCTTTGCATCAAATCTCGTTTACCTGCCCATGCTCTTTGTGCTCTGCACTTTCCCATGGCTTTGGACTACAGAACAGGGCATCACAAGATGTGCTTTAAGAACAAATTTATCAAGCTTCCCTACAGGCCAAATATGTCTTTCAGTCATGTCCACAACATAGCAAAACCAGTACTCAACCAGAAGCCTGTGGAATAAAGAAGCTGCTAAAGAAGCTGGGGGTGTTTGGACCTGCTCACATTATTACCTGATGATATATGAACTGAGAGAGCTGTAACTGGGAGAGCAAAGAATGACATTGCCACTGCTCCCTGGTCATTCCCACGGGTTAGCAAAGTCCAAGCCAGCACAAGCTTGGCTTGGAAACATTTGGTTCTTGCTTCCCCTTCCCAGTTCATAGTTACCTTCAGAAGCACATGCTTTCAGGCTGGGAATGCAGGGGGAAAAGAAATTACAAGAGCAAACCCTACACAGATTATTTGTCTTCCTTTCAGCAACCAAAACTGATAGTCTAAAAACTCCCAAGCTTCCCTTAATTCCACACTGACTGGCCATTTGCTAGCAAGTCCCTTCCCTTCTGCACCACATCTTCCCTCAAAAACACTGAGCCCAGAGACAACAGCATTTATCAAGGCAAAGCCCCCACCTCTCCTACTGCTGCACTTGAAAGAATACTTGCAAGTTTTGTCACAGAGCAAAGCCTCAGAGATCCATGTCAGGAGCTGGGGAACACCCCAGTGAGCCAGACCAGTTTCTCCATGGGCTGAAATGCCCCAGGAGAGAGATGGTGGCTTTTGTGGTGGGATGCTAGCAAGTGCCTCTTCAGTGTCCACACAGCAGAGCTGCAGAGAATGCAAAACTTCTTGCTTTTTTTATTAGTGCTGTTTTATCTGCCTGGTATTCAGCCCCACCCAGCTAATGTCCCCATAAAGAAACTGCCCTGAATCTGTGTTGTGACAGCAGGGTGCACACTGGAGTACTTCCCCCTCTCCCACATGGTAATGGGACCACAGACAGGCTCCTCCAGCCAGCTCCTACACACCAGGGCAAGACCTTGCCTGGAGCAATCCCTGGGAGATGGGTGTAAGTGGCCACATTACAGCCTCTGCTCACTGGAACTTGTTTTGGTTCTTTCTGCAAGCCCACTGACTACCCAGCTATCGAGCATGTGCCCCCTGGCCACAGCTACAGGTGTTAACCTCCCTGTATGGAGTGAAGCAGACCAAGTCTTCCATCACACTGCTTTCTGCTCCTTGAGCTCCTCTCCACTCACCCCATTCTGCTTATGCTGCTGCACTGAAACAGCTCTGGTGCAGAATTCCTTTCTTAGACACACAAAGCTGAGAAGACTGATGAGACACTTTATTTG